GAAGGAAAAGGAAAGGAAAGGAAAGGGGAATGAAAGGAAAAGAAAGGGAAGGAGAAGGGAAGGGAAGGAAAGGGAAGGGAAGTTTCCCTTCATCAACGAAGGGCTTGTGCAGCCTTGTGCCTCCTTGGTTGACAGCTAAAGGTGTGGCTGGAGCTCACTTGGATTTTTAAAACCTGGCCATACTTGCTTCCAGACTGTCTCCCTGTCTCTCTGCAGCTGCTGGTTTGCAGTGGGTGGGATTAATTGTGCGGCTCTCGAAAAGCCCAGGAATTGACCGAAGACTTTGATTCCAACGCTGCTCTTCTTCTTCTTCTTTTTTTGGGGGGCCGGTCCACATACAGGCATCCTTGGAAGCGACTACATTAACGCCAACTACATCGACGGGTACCGCAAGCAGAACGCCTACATCGCCACTCAGGGCCCTTTGCCGGAGACCTTTGGTGACTTCTGGCGGATGGTTTGGGAGCAGCGTTCCGCCACGGTGGTGATGATGACAAAGCTGGAGGAGAAATCCAGGGTGAGGAGCACTGGGGGGTGGGGGGGAATGCAGTCAGTTGGATTGGTGCTCCTGCCTAACTTATAGTGAAAAGTTAAGAATAAGAGAGCCAGATATGGGCTCCTTGGTGCTCTCTGGGCTTGGTTGTTTTCTTGCAGACGTTTCATCACCCAGCTAGGTAACATCACGGTCAGAAAAGGGAGAGGGGTTTCAAGAGAGGAGGAAGGAGAGGGCAAGTTTGGAGAGGGGGGGAGGTCTGTGGGATCTTTGGTGAGCTCTGAACCGCTCTCTGTTTTCTTGCGGGCGTTTCATCACCCAACTAGGTAACATCATCAGTGCTGAGCACTAAGCTGCAGGTTAGATCCAAAAATGCCAGGGAATTCCTGAAAGCTTGGCACCGAGACAAATTAGTCATCGGTAGACGTTCATGGATAAACCACATTTACACACCGTTCAAAGGAGAGAGGAAAAAAGGCTAAGAAGGAACCAAAAAGAACAAAACAGATATTCTCCCCGGGGTGCTACGTCCAGATAAACAGAAATTAACACCAGACAAACAATAAAGCAGAAATACACTAGTCAAGGAACTACCAAGGAGAAAACCCACAGCCCCTCCTGCACTGGCATTGTATATAAACAGACATCAAACCCTTCACTCCCTCAGACTGATGGTGTTACCTAGTTGGGTAGTGAAACATTTCCCAGGAAACAACCAAGCTTAGAGAGCACCCAAGATCTCACAGTTCAGCCCTACAAATATTTTCCTCTCTAGGTAGCTAGATGTTCCCTTCCAGTTTTGGGGAAAACCGTTAAATACTAACCAAGGGCCTGTGATTTTTTTTACGTATTGTCATATGTGTAATGCATGTAAAAGGGCACAGCTTTGATCCTGCAGTTGTGTTACCATCTTTACTTCTTTTTTAAAAAAATTCTGCTCCTAACTTGGGGTCTGGAATGCTTTCACTTGCCTTATTCCTTCTGCAAGTGGAAAGCTTTTTCTGGTTTGAGGTGGAATCGATTCATTGATTACTCATTGTGCCTCATATGGAGTATGTGTCAATCGTGATATTGATATGTTTATATTTATACGTTATAAATATATTCATATTTACGACATTGTAATACATTTATTGCATTATCACCTTGTAGAGGTGAGGCGTACACTGCCAAGAACTGTTTGTCATTAGAGCTGCCTTGAGGCCTTGTAAAATAATTAAAGTAAATAAGCTGATAAAATGAATGAACATGAGGGAAATTTATGGGGGGTTTTTCCTATGCAAGTACTTAAAAAATTCCTCCCAACTTCTTTGTGTTTTTCTCTACTTTGTTGCCGAATTTTAATGTTTTGGTCTGTCCTTACAGATCTAAGAATCTTGTGATTTATTGACATTTTGCCGTGTTTCCCAAAAATAAGACCCTATCTTATAATTTTTTTGCCACCCAAAAAAGGCATCAGGTCTTATTTTGGGGGGATGTCATCCACTGACTAACCTCACTTGCACGCGTCACCCCTGGCCTCCATCTTTGTGTCAGAGGCCTTTAGGAACTTCTTCTTCTGCAGCCGATAACAGAGTTTCGGATCAATCCAGAGCTTTGTTATCAGCTCCAGAGGCCTTCAGGAAAGCCTCGCCAGCCTTGCTGGCTGCAGAAGAAACGGGCCGTAAGGAGGGGGGGTCAGGGTGTGCCAGGCCTGGCTACACCTGTCCAAAGGTAAGTAGTAGGGCAGCTCCATACATCCCCATCCCCACCCTAGCTTAATTTTTACCCGTCCACTCTGGAGCGGGTAGGATCTTAATTAGGGCTTATTTTGGGGGTAGGGCTTATATTGGGCGCACGTGTAAAAATCAAGCTAAGATTTACTTTCAGGGTAGGTGGTATTTTGGGGGAAACAAGGTATAAATGAGACAAATTGATTAGATCGTATCTCCAGTGGGACTGAATAGTTCCGTAATTACATAAATTACAAAGGAAAATCTTCCAGAATTGATGTGGGATTCAAATTTCAATTCCCTGGAAATGAGACTCGGAAACCACAAAGCCACCTTCACCCTGAAATCTCAGGAGGGAAGATGACCTGAGTTCAAATTCATTTCAGTGTAGACTTCAGGATTTCACCGTGCCAGATTTTAATTTCTTGTAACCTTTGGCATGCCTACATAGGAAAGACAGCTAGCTGGTGATCTCTGAATTTTTGTTGATCAAACATGAGCAAACTCAGCGTATTGTTATGTTTTGTGTTGTTGTTGTTTCTTCAGGTTGTTCCAGTGTTTTGGTTGTCGTGTGGGGCTAATACAAATATAATACAACCCATATATTGATTTTTATTTTTCAGATCAAGTGTGACCAGTACTGGCCAGGGCGGGGCACAGAGACTTACGGGATGATCCAAGTGACCTTGTTAGATACCATTGAGTTGGCCACATTCTGTGTCCGCACCTTCTCTCTGCACAAGGTGAGAGATCAAAGGCTTCTTTTCTTGTGGTAGGTTTAACAGAGAAGAGAGGATGGCTGTTCTTTAAGGACCAGAAGGATCAGAATTCTTCAGAGTTGGGCTCAGCAGAGAGACCAGGAAGCAAGTAATTCAAAAGGCAGACTTCGGGAGAGCGTTCTGATAGTAAACGCTGCCCACCAAGAGGCAAACTGCGGGTCCTTGATTTACAGCCGTTCGTTGACTCACCATTGAAAGCAGAGGTCTCCAAACTTGGCAACTTTAAGACTTGTGGACTTCAACTCCCAGAATTCTCCAGACAGCTGGAGCCAGTATACAGCTTACCTGTATACTGCTATAGTATCCAGATGATCATTTGCTGAAACATTTCCAGAAAAGGAGAGGGAATACCACCTCCCAAGCCATTTCTTCCAGTTGTTATGGTTGAGGGAACATTTATCTGTCTGTCTGTCTGTCTATATCATCTATCTATTATCTATCATCTCTGTTTGTCTATCTGTCTGTCTATATCATCTATTATCTATCTACTCTGTCTGTCTATATCATCTATTATCTATCTACTCTGTCTGTCTGTCTGTTTTTCATCTCTGTCTATATCATCTATCTATTATCTATCATCTCTGTCTAGCTATCATCTCTGTTTGTCTGTCTGTCTGTCTATATCATCTATTATCTATCTACTCTATCTGTGTCTGTTTTATCATCTCCGTCTATATCATCTATCTATTATCTATCATCTCTTATCTGGCTGTCTATCTACTTTCCCTTTCTATCAATCTTATCTATCTACTTCTGTCCGTCTGTCTGTCTGTCTATCTATCTATTTATTCCCCACCTTTATTATTTTACAAATAACTCAAGGTGGCGAACGTACCCAACACGTACCTTCCTCGCTCGATTTTCCCTACAACAACCACTCTCTGAGGTGGGTTGTGCAGAGAGCAGGGTGTGCTGCTACAGGTTCGCCTGGGTTCATAATGAAATGGGAATCTTACTTTAGAACGGACGGTGATTGGATCATCTGATGCGATGATGGCTAAGGGGGAATGGATTTGTAGTTTTGACTTTTGCAAGGAAGCCCGAAACTTTCAGAATCGGGATTCCACAGATGTGCCAGTTACTATCCAAATAAAGGTACTGTCATGCCCCTCTTGGGATCTGATTCCGAGGGGGAGGTTGAGCAACTGACAGGGAGTGGGAATGTGGCTCTGGTAGCTGTGGAAGAAACTGGGGAAGGGCACAGTCCGGCTGGGCATTCAAAGGAAGACCCAGGCCCACCCACTCTTCATTCTAGGGCACACAGGGAGGAACCGAGAAGGGAGCAATGTGAGTTATGGGGGAGAAAAGGGCCCTGATTCCCTTCATTAGCTGCAGCTGGGAAAACAGGATTTAAAAAGGGTGTTTGCGCACAGCACCTTGCTGTGGAAGCAAAGCGTGAATTATCTTTGTTTGTCAAGTCTTATCTGGGTTCTGGCGTCCTCCCAACTGTATGTGTTTCATTATCTTTTGAAGTCTGCAATTCCTTATCCTGCCCTGTCTCGTTAATTGCTGCAGCGAGTGGTTTGTGTTGGTTTTTATTTATAATTTATATGTACTTTGGGTTCGGACTGAATTTCTTCCCTTTAAAGACTGTTCTTGGAAGAGTTTTTTCTCTATTCAAGGATAACTGGACATTGGGGGCCAAGTTGGAGGTATTAAAGGAACTTTACCTCCTTTTGTGACTTTGTTGCTTTTGTGCTGCACCCCATTGGGTCATCACAGGCACCTTTGAGAGATGTCTGTCACGGAGTTATTGATTGGAACGGAGGGTTGCTGGAATGCTGACATTAGGGGGTCATAAGTCGAGGAGTTGCCTGTATGTGATAGGAACAGCCGCCAGTTCAGCCTGCGCTTTCATTTGCTTGGAAGAAGTTGCGCGAGGCGAGTACGTCATGCCGTCTTCCCTTCTGCTTTGCCTCCACAGAACGGTTCCAGTGAGAAGCGTGAAGTTCGCCAGTTCCAGTTCACCGCATGGCCAGATCACGGCGTTCCCGAGTACCCCACTCCGTTTCTGGCTTTTCTCAGGAGAGTGAAAACTTGCAACCCGCCCGATGCTGGCCCCATCGTGGTGCACTGCAGGTACACACACACACACACACACGCACACACAGCACTGCCAACCCTTTGGGGATCCCAATTTGGTGGTGACGGTACAAGACAAGGATTTATTTTTAGTTATTAAATGTGTTTGCTGCCCACCTCATTTCGAAGCGATCCAGAACAAGGTTTGTCTTGGAAAGGAAGGAAGGAGGTTGTTAGGAATAACATAGGTTACCTAACGTGGTTTGGGTAAAAATAATATATATAAACTATGATTGTAAGTTTAAGCGTATGTCACTTTAAACCGCAAAGCATGTATTTTGGGTGCGGTGTGAAACCACCATAAGAGGGAGCAAGAGAACCTGATGATTCCTGACGATTGCTGGTTTGATGGATTGATGGTTTGCTAACCGCGTGTTTCCCTACTGCTAGGGTGTATCCCTAACAGGGGTGGATCTTTTTGAATCACTTTTACCAGTAAGGACGGGAAGGGAAAATCTCTTGCCCCTCGCTCTCTTTGCTACGGGGACTGGTGGGAGCAGACGGAGGGCCGTAGGTATAGGGTATGATGATGGCCTCTTTCTCAATTGTGCCAGTCTACCCCGCTGTTCTGACCAAGGCTTCCGAGACTGTAATTAAGCACACGCTTAGTCCAAAAAACCGTTGTTTATTTCAGCACTGGGAAATACGTAATGCCCGTAATGAGTCCCAAACAGTCCCTCGAGATAAGCACCCACATTTCTTTCCTTCAAATTGCTGCCAACAGCTAAAGTGCCAAATGAACTGTAAAAAGCCAAACGAAGTACAAAATCCACACAGAGCTTCAAGGATTAATCTGACCACAATGAACAACTTTGCTTCCTGCAAAGGTTTCATCATCTTTGCCTGTCCTTTGTCCCTTACGGGAGGGGCAATCACCTCCCAGCCTTACTCCTGAGTCGCCTCCTTTGTCTCAGCTGCTCTCACCTTTTAGCAGCTCTGCACATGCGCGCACTGGGAACAGGCTCCCCTTGTTCCTCTGCCTCGCTGCTGCCAGACTCTGGAGGCTCCGGAGTCAGCACCCCCACTCCCAGATGGTCCTGGCCCCATCTCTGCATCGGATGCAGGACCCTCATCCGAGTCCTCCACAGGCTCCTGGACTGGTCCCGGTTCTTCCCCTGCCGACTGCACAGGCTGACAGCGAACCACAACACCCCCCACCCTCCCTGTAATAAGATCCAAACTTTAGTGGTCCTGAAGGCAATATATAGGGCAATATTTTATTCCATGGCATCAGCTGAATTTCCTTGCTCAAAATGGGGGCCTGAGTATGCAGTTGAATTTAATTCTAATTTGCACGAGGAACAATAGTCTTTACAGGGTGTGGATGAAATCTAACAACTAGGGTCCATTTGTCAAACCTTGACAATCAAACGGGATCCAGAGGTATTTATTTATAATTTAAGGAGGACATTCTCATAGAAGTGAGATTTGGAGGAAATTGTCTGTGTGAATATTAACCTTTCCAAATGTAGTCATTCAGGACTGTTCTCTGAGCTTCTTAATAGCGTTCTTCTCTACGTCTGACATCTGGGTTGTTGTTGTGGATCAGTCTATTATACTTCTCCCCGCAAAGCTAGGCTGAAACCAATTAAACGAGCACAGACAAATCCGGGAACTTCCGAGAAGGAATTTATTTATCACAGAAAAGCTATAATCAAAAAACCCCCCCAGGAATTGCTGGGTAGCAAACCAGAGCCCTGTTTATATCAAAGTTCGTTTTCCTCTTACTTGAATTGAGGGACAGACTGGACACACCCCTCTGTTTCAAGGAGAGGCAAAGTCTCTTGTTTTTGGAAATACACAGATCTAACTGTCAGAATCTAAATTTCGACGAATCAGACCAAACTGCCACCAGGAGAAAAAAAAAAAGAGGAATTACAGGCAGGGGATGATGAAATTAGAATTAGATGATGGAGGGATTTTTAAATATAAAAAGAAAAGAAACAGCTTCTCAAACACAAAGAAATTTTCAAATCTTCAAATGAACAATGCACTGGTAGCTCTCACCTTTCCGTTGTTAAGCAAGGCAGTTGTTAAGTGAGCGGAGCCTGATTTTATGATCTTTTTGCCCCGAGTCGTTGAGCGAATTACTGCAGTTGTTAAGTCAATCGTGTGGTCATTAAGCAAATCCAGCTTCCCCCCCATTGGCTTGGTTTGTCGGAAGCAGGCTGGGAAAGTCACCAATGACTCCCAGGAAGATTTCAATCTTTGTAAATACATCCCAGTTGCCAGGCATCTGGATTTTAATTAGGTGACTGTGGGGATGCTACGACAGTCATGAGGGCGAGGACCTTTTCTCAGTGCTCTTGTAACTTCAAACAGCTGTTAAACCAACGGTTGTAATTGAGTTGCAGACTGGGAAATTTCAATAAATTGTTAAATGCTCCTTTTCCCCCTCTGCCTCTCTCGCCCACCGGCACAGAGAAATTGGATGTTCAGTGATCTGCAGTGGAGCATCCAACCCCCCCCAAATGTGATTTCTTTTTGGTTTTTAAAAAATTGCCTCGCCTTTTCGCCCTCTCCTTCAAATGGATTACTCAGGAGTCCGAATGCTTTGGCAGCGCACAAACCTAAGGAGTACAAGGTAGTACTTGGCTTACAACAGTTCCTTTAGTTCAAAGTTACAACATCACTGTAAAAAGTGTTTACTTCAAGATATAGTTCCAGTTCTTTTTCCATCATTTGCACGTAGTTCTTTCCTTTTAATACTCTTTGATTTAGGGTCCATCTTCTTCTCTTTCCTTGTCCCTTCCATCTCACTTTTAAGAGGGATACAGTCAAGATCAAGGGAAGTACTAATACCGCTCTATAAAGCCTTAGTAAGACCACACCTAGAGTCCTGCATCCAGTTTTGGTCACCACATTATAAAAAAGAGGTTGAGACTCTAGAAAAAGTACAGAGAAGAACAACCAGGATGATTAGGGGACTGGAGGCTAAAACATACATTGCAGGAACTGGGATTGGCTAGTCTAGTGAAGAGAAGGACCAGGGGAGACATGATAGTGGTCTTCCAATATTTGAGGGGCTGCCCCAGAGAGGAGGAGGGGGTCAAGCTATTTTCCAAGGCACATGAAGGCCAGACAAGGAACAATGGATGGAAACTGAACAAGGAGAGATTTAACCTGGAAACAAGGAGAAACTTTCTGACAGGGAGAACAATCAACCCATGGAACAGAAGTTGCCCTCGGAAGTTGTGGGAGCGCCATCAGTTGAGACCTTCAAGAAGAGATTGGACTGCCATTTGTCAGAAATGGTGTAGGGTCTCTCGCTTGGGAAAGGGGTTGGACTAGATGACCTACAAGGTCCCTTCCAACTCTGATTATCTGTATCTGAGGCTGTGGTCTGCCCAAACATTTGTCATTATATCCATTTCTTCTATGTCCCTTCTCAATTCCGGGTTCATCCAGACCGTATCAATTCTTTACCAGGAGTTATGAGGATTTGAAAAAAACACGTGTATTGAGTCTTCTTTGGGTTTAACTCTCGCCGTATATTCATGTGATTGTGGGATGCTGCAAATCGCTGTAAATATGGTTGAGTTGCTGAGTGCCTACTGTCAGGATTCCACCAGCTACCCCCATTTAAAATGATGAGTCTCGAGCCAAACTTCCAAAACTTAAAAAGGATTTATTGGGAGTTAAACTGTCCAGCACCACCTGGGTACAGCCAACTCTGAGACAGATAATTCTTTTTTTTTTTTAATAAAAAAAGTTTCCAAATTTTAAAAAACATAAAACAAAACTTTATACATTGCTATCAACATCAAGACATCTTTTGCATTTCCGCACATTTTTCAGTATATGTACTTACTTATTCCTTTACCATTGCGGAGACACATAATTCATTGTCACCCTTGACCCTGGTTTTCCCCCACCCACTGGGTGTATCGTAATTCATATCCTCCAATGGGACACCTCCATAGCCAAGAATCATTCAATCATGCTCTCCAGTTAGAATTTTGCCAGCAGAAACTTCAGTCACCCAGTTACTGTCTTTGAAAAACTATTTATGGAATGCACTTTCATTTTGCAAGCTGCCGCACCGCTCCCCCCACCCTTCCTGTTGGCAACTCTAAAAAGACCATACAAATATTTTATGAGTTGACACAGAGATTTGATGATCAATTTTGGTCGCATAAGTCGTGGACTACCCGTAATAACAACTAGAATGGAGCGGGAACGTCCCCACTCCAGCCTCCGTCCCCCTCTGCACCTTATCCTGTTCGGGAAGCTGTTCTACAGGTGAAATGCACCGGAAAGCACCCTGTGGCACTGATAAGTCAGTCGGTGTGCCTCCCTGCCTTGCGCTCCCTCCCTGGCACACACGCTTGCATCTCCGAGAATGACAATCCAACCGATTTCTTGTGAAACATAAACCCCGGAGCTACCGGTTTGTTGATTTCGCCCAGTGTTACACTCTCCTGATTGATATAAGTCAAACAGATCGCCTGCTCTGCCCCCAAGTCACTTCTGGTTTTCAGATCAGACAGCAGGAGGTCACTGGATACAGACATAGAGATGTCAACCTAAAAAATGATTTTTCCCTGAAGTACCACACATAAACATCCCCGGTTACGGGGCCAGGCTGAGTTCTGAAAAGGCCTGATTTATCCCCATATAGGTAACCCTTGACGTACAAGGATCCATTTAGTGGCTGTTTTTTTTCTGACCAAGGCCTCCTGAGACTGTAATTAAGCACACGCTTAATCAAAATAACTCTTGTTCTATTTCAACGCTGGGAATTATTTTCATTCCCAGCCCGTAATGAGTCCCAAACAGTCCCTCGAGATAAGCACCCACCTTTCTCTCCTTTGAATTGCTGCCAACAACTAAAGTCCCCAAGTAACTATAAAAACCCAACCGAAGTACAAAATCTACACAGAGCTTCAAGGTTTAATCTGAACAGAACGGACGATATTGCTTCCTGCAAAAGTTTCTCTACCTTTGCCTGTCCTTTATACCTTAGGAGAGGGGCAATCACCTCCCAGCCTTACTCCCGAGTCATCCCTTTTGTCTCAGCCGCTCTTGCCTTCTGGCAGCTCTGTGCACACTCGCACTGGGAACAGGCTCCCCTTGTTCCTCTGCCTCGCTGCTGCTGTACTCTGGAGTCAGCACTCCACTCCCAGATGGTCCTGGCCCCATCTCTGCATCAGATGCAGGACCCTCATCCGAGTCCTCCCCAGACTCCTGGACTGGTCCCCATTCTTCCCCACTGGCGAACCACAACACTGTTCGAAGTTACGACAGCGCCAAAAAAAAGTGACCGACAGACATTTTTCAGACTTGAATGCCCCTTGCAGTGTTCCCTGTGGTCATGGGATCAAAATTTGGACGCTTGGCGACTGACCCGCATTTATGACATTTACAGTATCATACGATCCCCTTTGGCAACCTTCTGGCAATCAAAGTCAGTAGGGAAGCCAGATTCACTTACTCAGCCAGGTTACTCACTTAATAACTGCAGTGATTCATTTAACAACCGTGGCAAAAAAAGGTCGTAAAAGTGGGACAAAACTCAACTGTCTGGCATGGCAGTGGAAATTTTGGGCTGAATTGTGGTCGTAAGTCAAGGATTCCCTGTATTTCGACAGATGACCTTGATCCATCTGCTACCACCTTAGGAGGCAGGCATAACGGAAGGACCCTATAACACCCCTTAAGATCATAAATATGATGCCTGTTCTACCAGAGGTTTAGCATGCACTGCATTTCCACTTCTATTCTTAGCCATTGAATGAATTTAATTTGGAATAAACACACTGACGATTCCAGGTTGGCCAATCTGCTTAAGTATCTTATGACTTGGTTTCCCTGGGGTGGAGTTAACCGCAAGAGGCAAGGCATATAAATTTAATAAATGAATAAACAGAAACCGTCAGGAATTCCAAGGAAGAAGGGTAGAAATTACATAGCCACCATTTAGCCAAGAGGATTATAGGAAGCTCACTTCCCGTATTTCAGGATGCTGCTTATAAGTGCTATCTGCTTAGAGCTCAAAGCCTTGTTAGAGACCCCACACACCCCCTCCACGGTCTGTTTCTGTTGCTCCACTCTGGGAGGAGGTTTCGAAGTATCTGTAGCAGGATTACCAGATTCTGTAAGAGCTTTGTTCCCTATGCCAGGGGTCCCCAACCACCGGTCCACGGACCGGTACCGGTCCGTGGAACAATTTCTACTGGGCCACCGGTTTGCTGGGCGCCGCCATCTTGTTTTGATGAAAAAGTGCTTCTGGTGAGCTTTTCCGGGTAGAAAGCGGCGTTTGGGTGCTGAAACTATCCTCACGCCTTAGTTTCATCGAGGGTGGGGCGGCTTCGAAGAAAACTAAGGCGCGAGGATTCTTTCAGCACGCATGGCAAGGCGAGCCGAGCGACCGTCCCGAAGCCGTCGCAAAGCCCATCGACACAGGTACAAAGGAGGAGTTGAAGGTGGCGGGGAGAAGCGGGGGACGGCTGGCTGGCCGGTCGCTCGGTTTGCCTTGCCATGCGTGCTGATGCCGGTACCAGGCCGTGGATGATTTTGTGATGCCAGTACCGGGCCGCGGCACAAAAAAGGTTGGGGGCCATTGCCCTATGCCATCCGTCTGGTAAACTCGCGAGATTCGTGCTTCTCGCCATGTACAGGTATCCCTCTGAACTAGACCGTGTTGTTTCTTTGTGCCACATAACATATGTGCATAATTTGGGTATGTGCCTAATTTTATATTTCTTTATTCTGTCGTGGGTTATATAGTGTATATTGGAGGTGGTGACCCTTTGAGAGCTGGAGGCCACAAACTTTCTGGTTTTTCTTTGAAGACGTTTCGCTTCTCATCCAAGAAGCTTCTTCAGCTCTGGCTGGATGGTGGGGAATGGAAGGATTTATACTCCTTGCAGACAGCTGGTCCTTTGTGTTCTTTGAAAGAGTCACTGAGGCCACTTGGAGGTTTTATCTGTGTCCTCAGGGTCACCTGAGTGTGGTGAAAATGGGCGTGCAGCCTTCTTGGAACTGCTGAAAGGACCGTGTTGTAGACTGGAGATAGATGGTGTATCCCTCTTTTGAGAGGGGGCTGTTCAATTTTGACAGGCGGCCTCAACGGCTCTTAAAAGAATGCATTAATGACCAGCTGTCTGCAAGGAGCATAAATTCTTCCCTTGCCCATCATCCAGCCAGAACTGAAGAAGCTTCTTGGATGAGAAGCGAAACGTCTTCAAAGAAAAACCAGAAAGTTCATTTGCTTCTTGAAAAAGCACCTTTAGGACACACCTGGATGCCTGAGAATCTCCATAGACATGTATGCAATGAAATTTCATTTTAAGGTATGCTGATGTCAGCTGGTGCTCCGTTCAAAATCCAATAAAGAAATACTTAGACTCCCTTAATCAGAGAAAAGGTATCTTTTACTGGAAGTCAGGTGGTAGCAACAAAAGAATTCTGAATCTGAGAAAATGGGCGCGTAAATCAGTTAAGTGATGGCGACGCTCCCACCCCCCATAGTTCAATTGGGTCATCCCATTAAAAGTTGTGTATAGCATCATGCGGGCACCTCCAGGGTGGTGATGAGGCCTCTGTCCGTTGACCTTGACATATTTTGATAAAGAGTTGCGTCTGCGCGTAGCATAGGATAGAAGCCTAAGCAAGAATCTTCCCCCACGTACAACTTAATACAGTTCTGTTTTGTAACACCTCCAGCTCGCTTTCCATAACCATGTCCCCTCTCCTCCCCCCGTTACTTATGACAGCCGAAAGATACAAAGCAAAGGAAGAAAATCTTGAAGGCTGACAGCCGATTAGTTGTACGTTCCAAGTGACAATACAGTTATTCCAAGTCTAATTTCGATGAAGGGTTTCTTTAATCCCCGATTATTATTATTATTTTTCCCTCCACCCCACTCCTGTTTTTAATTCTTCCAGTGCTGGGGTGGGTAGGACCGGCTGCTTCATCGTCATCGATGCCATGCTGGAGAGAATAAAACACGAGAAGACGGTGGACATTTACGGGCACGTCACCCTCATGCGGTCCCAGCGAAATTACATGGTGCAGACGGAAGACCAATACAGTTTCATACACGACTCCTTGCTAGAAGCCGTCGCCTGTGGGAACACGGAGGTCCCCGCTCGGAACCTGTACACCTACATCCAGAGGTTGGCACAGATAGAAGTGGGGGAGCACGTCACAGGCATGGAATTGGAATTCAAGGTGAGCCAGGGGTCCGGGGGTTGCGGCGCCCAGGCAGGTGGTTGCCCTGTTGCGTCTTCTCTGGGAGCAGAGGGCGGCCCAGGTGAGCCAGCACAAAGCTGCAATCTGTGCAGATAATCCTTGGCTTACGACGTGTTCCAATATCTCAGGGATTGCCCCCTAGAAGAGGCAGACAAGCTAGTCTCCAAAGCCCCTGAGGGCAGGATAAGAAGCAATAAGGATGGAAACTGATCAAGGAGAGAAGCAACTTAGAACTGAGGAGGAATTTCCTGACTGAGAGAACAATTAACCAGTGGAACTACCTGCCTCCAGAAGTTTTAAATGCTTCAAGGAGGTGTTTAAGAAAAGATTGGACAGCCACTTGTCTGAAATGATCCTGGCCTAAGCAGGGGTTGGACTAGAAGACCTCCAAGGTCCCTTCCAACTCTGTCATTCTGTTCTATTCTATTCTAACCATTTGTTTCATGCCCATCTGAAGTTAAAATGGGATTGAAAAAGGGGATTGATGACCACTTTCACACTTACGACCGTTGTAGCATCCCCACTGTCATTGTGATCAAACTTGGGCCACTGGCTCATATTTATGACGGTTGCAGTTTTCTGCGGTGGCCCTTTTGCAAAGTGTGGAGCCAGATTCTCTCTTAACAGCTGGGTTATTAACAGCAGCAGCGATTCACTTAACAACTAAGGCAAGAAAAGTTGCAGAATGGGGCAAAAGTCACTTAACATATGTCTTGTTTAGCAACGGAAACTCTGGTCTCCCTTGTGGTCATAAGTCGAGGACTATCTGTACTTAGAGGGGAAAGCATTTGCTTTGGATTCAGAAAGTCTTATGTCTTGCTGTATACCAGGAAAATAGAAAGACATCCAGGTGGGAGTGCGAATTGCAGAATTCTCCATTGGGGTGGAGAATTGAATATATATATATAGACTATATTCAATTAATGTAGCATTTCCCAGCCTGGGTGATTTTCAGACACGTAATTTGAACTTCAAAAATATGTCAGCAGTAGCCAAGCTGGTTGGGGAACTCTGGGAGTAGAAATTCACAGGTTTAAGACTGACCATCAATGCCCAGAATCTGGCTGGCAAATTTTAAGCATGACCTATATAACAGTGTCCCACATATAAAGGTCCGAGGACACATCTTTAGAGCAGTATTCCACTTGGAGAATTCTAAGCGGAGGCCGTGTTGAATTCTGGGAATGGAAATCTGTGTGTCTTTAGGGAAAACTTCCAACTCCCAGAATTCTCAGCAGTAGCCATGCCGGCTGGGGAATTCTGGGAGCTGAAGTCCATACATCTAGCGAGTGAGCATTAATTCCTGGACTCTTCAACAATGGCCACACTAAATGGGGCATTCTAGGAGAGGAGGCCCACTCAGGTGACCTGCTTCCTTCTCACCCACCTGTGCTCCTTTTCCTCTGCCAGAGACTCGCCAACTCCAAAGCCCACACCTCCAGATTCATCAGTGCCAACCTGCCCTGTAACAAATTCAAAAATCGCCTTGTCAACATCATGCCATACGAGACCACACGGGTTTGCCTCCAGCCTATCCGCGGAGTCGAGGGCTCCGACTACATCAATGCCAGCTTCATTGATGGATACAGGTAAAGACCCCAGGAAGAGGCAGGGCGGATACCCGATTCCTCGGTCTCTTCCTGTCCTCTATTCTGGCTGCCAATCAGAATAGATTACATGCTATGATATTGTACGTTAGAGGTGTGCGCGTGTGTGACTTCTGTAGAACTTTTCTACAGAATGCACTGGCCCAGTTCTTATTCTTTGCCTCTATTCCTTCTGAATATTAAGCCTCAATAGGCAGGAAAATTGTTTGCACATTCCAAGTGGCCCACAAGAATTTCCGGCTCCTATTCCGTTGAAGGAGTTGCCACCGGAATACATCTTCAATCTCCTGTTGGCATCAAGGCCCGTGATCACTGAACTGCAGAAATCTGGGGGACCATGAGTGACAGTAGAGAGAAACCCAAAAAATAAATGGCTCTTGGCCTCCATCTAGTGCTCACCTGGTTCTCTGCAGCCCAACATTGTGTGTCTTAAATTAGAGCTGAGAAAAACAACGTCTTTGAATTTGGAAAATAAATAGTTCCTTGCCAACACGAGAGAATATCTGTAGCTCAAGGCTGAACTACGGGAACCATGGTGCTCTCTAAGCTTGGTTGTTGTTGTTTTCCAGATGTCTCATTACCCAGCTAGATAAGATCATCAATGCTAGAAGGAGAGTGGGGGGTTTGTGGAGTAGAGGAGGAGAAGGAGGACGGTGGGCAGTGCACTGATGTTGTCACATACTTGGGTCCTGAAACATCTGCATAGGAAAGCAACCTCAGAGAGCAACAAGGAGCCCGCAGAGAAGCTCCTTATTTCTGCGTATTGAGTTTCTTCTGACATTTGATGGAGGTTGGCTTTCTAGTTAACGCGCCAAAGTTAGGTCTTGCAAGGCTGAAGTCTGAGAAGCGTTTAGCATCCATTCTTCAACCTGGAAGGGATTGGAAGGGTTAGCAGAAGCCACCCCTTACTGCTTTGTTCTCTGGGGCTGGTGGGTTTAAGAGGACGAGCCCACCTCTGCTATCCAAGCTTGGCCCGGGTCTCGGGGTTGCCTTCCCCTGTTCTGGACTGTCACGGGACCCACCTTGATTCGCCCTTAAAGGCCACCTTGCCTCCTTAGCTCGCCTTCTCCAATAGGGTTGGTTCCCTTTGCTCCTTCCCTACAGGCAACAGAAGGCGTACATCGCCACCCAGGGGCCTTTGGCCGAGACCACCGAGGACTTCTGGCGCATGCTGTGGGAGAACAACTCAACCATCGTGGTGATGTTAACCAAGCTGCGAGAGATGGGCCGGGTAAGTGGGACATCCCTGGCTTGTTGGTGCTTCGTTTTGACCCCCAGAATGCTGGGTGAATGTCCTTGGAATGGCAGGCTTTGACCTCCAGGGTGTTTTTCTCCCAGGCGACGGATTAGTAGTGTAGACGGAGAGGCTCCATTTCTCATCGTTACGTGTCTGAAAAAGAGCCTTGTGGCGCTCTTCTTGCTTTTGAGCGGGGGGGGGGGGGGGGGGGGGGTTTTGTCGTGGACCCCGCCCGGCCCCCCGGGCGCTGCGGGCTACCCCCCCCGCCCCCGCCCACAGAAAACGCCCCCGGGG